AAGACTCAGAAAGACACACACACACACACACACACACACACACACACACACACACACACACACACACATATATATATATACATATTCATTTTAATGATAAGCGGCCAGCAGAAAGAATAAAATGTCGTTTGGACCAAGCTTTTTTAATCAAATTTATCCTGATGAACCGATAGTTAAAACCTAGATAGGTAGGTTCTGGCTTTTTAGGTATTCTAATTTTGCTCTACTTAGTGTATTGAGCACTTTTACGGTAAATCTCTCAGTGTTTTTTTGTTTTGTTTTTTTGGCTAGACATTGTGGTGTTGGTTGATTATTTCCCAGCAGTACGGAGGTTTTTGGCATCTATTTTTATTAAAGTTTTTCCCCGATATCAGTTTGTGCGATATTTTTTATTTACAAATTGTATCATCTGTTGTTTTTTTTTATATATATATATACCGCCAGAATTATAGTAAAGGTTTTAAAAACCTAAAAAAAAAAACCAGGGTAAATTGGTTCTGGCTCTTTAGGTATATATATATATATATATATATATATATATATATATATATACATCCAGACACGCACGCAGACACACACACACATATATATATATATATATATATATATATATATATATATATATATATATATATATATATATTATTCTGAAATTATAACATAAGTATGTTATAAAATCACTACACCATCACTTGATAAGACACAGAATTGTTGAAACAAAATAGCTATTTTTGTAGTGATTTTATAACATATTTATGTTATAATTTTCGAATAAATAATTATATTTGCTCTACTCTGTATTGAGCACTCTTTTAAGAATAGTATTTAAGAATAGTATTTGTTGGTTATTGGGATTTATTCCGTATACACCAATCCGATACTTGTGTGTATATATATATATATATATATATATATATAACCACATTCATGATAAACTTTAAAAAGTTTAAGCCCACGCCTACTTAATCACAATAGTGCATACCTACATACATTTAAAAAATAGCCCTCATAAGTAATTTAATAAACAGAGAATATTTAATCTCTTTTACACATTTAATATTTTTTATGAGCTGAAAAACATTAAGCAAACAAAAATTAACAATAATTTCTCTAGTCATTAAGAAAAACAAATTCTATTTTCTGCTTCCCCTCTGGCCGTCGGCGATCATGGTTCTCCACAGCTTCCTATCCTTTATATCTCGTAATAAATATTGTCTTTCTTTTATTCCCAATTAACCCTTCTTCGCCATCCATTTACGCAAGCTCACAAATTATGTTAGGCGCTGTTTTCCATAATCTCACTTGCCATCAATCTGTCATGTGAGTATCAGATTTTCCAAGCCCTCTTTTCTCATTATGTGCTCAAGGAATTTCAATTGTCTTATTCTCATATTATGTATCAGTTTCCTTTGTATTTCCATTTTCTCTAAAACTTCGGTCCGTGTTATATTCAGCATCCTTCTGCAGAATCACATTTCTGTTGCATTATGTCTCGTCTTCATCTTCGAAGAGGTTTTCCAGCATTCACTGCCATGCTTGAGCATTGATATTACGTAACAGTCCAGTACTCTTTTCTTTGATTCTAATAATTTTTTCTGTTTCTTAATACTTTGCTTAGCTTTTTGAAAGGCATATTCCGTCATCCCAGTGTGACCTCTGATTTTCGTGCCGTACATCCTATCCTACTTCCCAGATATTTCTTCTTCTATGTACCAGGTCTCTTCAGGGCGTAGGCGATCATCTCGTACAGTGCAGATGGCATGAATTTGTTTACGGTCGACCACAATTTGCCAGGAATTGACCCACCCACATCTATAAATTTTCATTTGGTCTTTGCATTAAATATTACTGCCATATCTGGTCTAGTGCTACTCTATATCTTGAGATTCTTGACAAGATTCCAAGTTGGATCTGTTATATAATTGGTACTGATCTGGCATCTCGACTTCAGTCACTTTTTCGCCATCGTAACTTAGCTTCTCTGGGACTTTTCTGTAAATTTTTGCATATGCTTATTTTCTTTTTTGTATGAAAGATCTGCTGCAATTAATTGTCGTAACATACCTGCGTCCATTTATTCAAATATCGAATCCACTGCAACTGAATATATTTATGCAACGCTGATATCTACGCAGTGTCGTAAATTATTCGACATTTTTCGTTTTTATAAAACCAATATTTGCACGAGTATTTTGCCGGATAGGTTAGTTAGTTGGATTGACGACATATCAACCCTTTGTCGGGTATTTAATGTTGATTTTTAGTATAGGGCATCCATTAAGTATCATTCTCACGATGTAGTCAGCTTTATCTCGTAATAAGAATTTAATTCTTGGCTGTTTGCTTCCTATCATTCACCGCTTACGTGCAGGTTCAGTGTAAGCAGGTTCCAGCTTCACCAAAACCTACTCCCGACATCGATTCCCTATCGTCGTTTGACTTTACAAGAGTTGGTTGAAGATGAAAGAAAATCAGAGTAGGTGAAGAAAATGACGATAGCTTGAATTTGTTTACGGTGGACCTCAACTTGCCAGGAAGTGATCCACACACTTGCACATCTGTAAATTTACGATTCGTCCTTGCATTAAATATTACTGCCATATCTGGTCTAATGTTTCTATTATATATATACCAAGAAGGGTCAGTTATATAATTAGTCCTGATCTGACATCTCGACTGCAGTCCGTTTTTCACCACAGTAACTTAGCTTGTCTGGGTTTTTTTTCTGGGGGTGCAAGAAAATCAGAGTAGACGAAATTGCCGATGGTGGGAATTTTGTTTAAGGTGAATTCAACTTACCAGGAAGTGACCAACACATTTGATTTCATGACCTTCCTTTGCGACCAATGGGGAATGAGTCATGCAGAATCCAGTTATAAAAGTGCAACGAACTACTGCTGAATCTTTTAAAATTTAGAGAGGTGCCTTCTGTGGCATGCGTAGCCCTCTTCATCCTCTGGCTGAACCATTGAGAACTGTGTTAATCGTCATCTGCTTGATCCAGCGTCTGGATCCTCGTCTTCGACCTTGCCGGAGATTAGGACTGACGACGACATCGCATTCAGAGTCACTGGACCACGCAAGCCCCACCACTACGACAAGGAACGACCATCAGAGGTACTCACATAGAAACATACACGCGTAAACATTCTCGTACATTCATAACTGCTCATGGCGTATCAAATGCAAACAAATGACGTCATACATTAAGAAATGGACAAAGTCCGACAATTTATTAAAGACATTTTTATGTTTAACATTCTTTTTATAGATACAAGTATTTAAGTAAATGCTCTGTTTATAATAAACAGTATAAAATAACATTTACCGGCCTCAATATCCGAGAAATGTTCATAGAAAATATTCGTCCTTTGACAGGATTCGAACCTGCATCCTATACGATCAAGGATCGTTCGGTTAGCAAGGACGAATTTACTGCTTATAAACTTCAATCTTCCATGAATCTCGTACATTCATAACTGCTCATGGAGTATCAAATGTAAACAAATGACGTCCTACATTAAGAAATGGACAAAGTCCGACAATTTATTAAAGATTAAATGTTATTTAATACTGTTTATTATAAACAGAGCATTTACTTAAATACTTGTATCTATAAAAACATAAAAATGTCTTTAATAAATTGTCGGTCTTTGTCCATATATATTTATTTATATATATATATATATATATATATATATATATATATATATATATATATATATATATATATATATAACAGAACAAGGATTTACTGTTCTTCCGAGGTTGTGACTGTTCGCAACTCCTGTCGAACTCTTTGCTTTTGGCAGAGAGGAAGCCGGACAAGCTTTGCCGAAGGGCAAAGTTCCGTCCGGCGAGGTAGAAAGGCTCTGAACCCGTTTATGCAGGTTCTACGGGAATATTTTTGGTCGAGCCTACAAGCGGTAAACTCGGTAAACTCGGCCAAATGCTACATATATCCTTCGTGGGAGTGGGGGCTGTTAAATATTAAATATATATATATATATATATATATATATATATATATATATATATATATATATATATATATATATATATATATATTACACTAGATCTCGGTTTTCTCCATTAAATGTATACTATATTTCGAATCGTGAAGTCTTTGCGTTTATTCCCGTACGATTTTGTTTTTACATGGGTGTTACAATTGTTAAACGGTAACATAGATGTCTTAAGGTGAACACAGCGTGATCGGAAATATCCAGAAGAAAATAAATAAATCTTGAAACGTGGCCTATCGATCCTTTCTGATTGTAGAGCTTCGTTCCGCTGAATGTTGTCAGCAAATAGCGACCATAGCGACCAATTATTCGTTATCGTATCCTCCTATTATTGCAAAAAAAAGAATTCTCCAAGCAGAGGATTTTTCAGTCTCTACTTGATAACGTCGGCTGGTTTTAGATCCTCGCAGGATAAGTTAATTTTATATTATATCCTCCTACTTCTTCTTCTTCATTTACTCCTCCTCTTCTTCTTCTACTTCTTTTAATTCTTCTTCTTCATCCCAAAAGAAGAATTTTCTTTTCCGTTTCATTTCCAGAATGTGTTTATTTATATCAATTTAATATATTACTGCACCTTTTCGTATTAAGAGTATTTAGAAATATCTCCCACATGATGGTAAGTCACTAGTTGCAATGCTTTCTTCATTTATCTAATGTCTTAAAATTATGTGAGAGGTAAATGTAGGAAGTATTTCTGCCGCACCCTGTATAAATCTAGCAGTACATGGTGCGATGAATATATTGCCGTCTAAAGTTTTAAATACTAAAGAGTAAATTTATTCAAATAAATCGCCATTGGCTTCAACTATGGCCTCCAGATGACTACGGAATCTCCTGTAACTCTTCTGGGCGGTCTTCCTGTTTAAGTTAGTTAATGCTGATATAATCTTTGCTTTCCGTTCAGAAGACTTTGGTTACAAGAATACATTTAATCTATGAAGAAGGTTTGATTCGAACAGAATAGAAGAAGAATTAAAAGAAGTAGAAGAAGAGGAGGAGGAGGAGTAAATGAACAAGAAGAAGTAGGAGGACAATGAATAAAAAAAGAAAAAAGTAAGACAAAAGAAGAAAGGGGGAGAAGAAAGGAAGGAAAAGGAGACGAGAAGACGAAGAAAAAATTAGCGTAAAGGTAGAACAAGAAGAAGAAGAAGAAGAAGAAAAAGAAAGAAGGTAGGAGGACAATAAAGAAAGAAAAAGGAAAATGAAAGAAAGAAAAAGGAAGGAAAGAAAGAACGAATAAATGAAAGAAAGAAGGAAGGAAGGAAACAAGTAAAAAGAAAGAAAGAAGAGAAAAAGAAGGATGGAGAGAAAGAAAAAGCTAAATTAAATAAGAAAAAAGAAAATGAGTGAGGGAAATAGAAGGAAACGGAAAAAGAAAATAAACAGAGAAAAGACAAAAAAGAGAAAAATTGATGTAGGAGAAAAAAAGTTAGAAAATTTAAAAAGTGGAGAGAAGAAGTCAGAAAGGGACGCTAAAACGTAAGAAACAGTAAAGAAGCTGAGAGAAAAAAGAACCACAGATTAAAACGGAGACACAAACAAGTAAGAAAGAGTAAAAAGGGGACAGAAAAAACAAGAAAGAGTAAAAAGGGGACAGAAATCAAGAAAGAGTAAAAAGGGGACAGAAAAAACAAGAAAGAGTAAAAAGGGGACAGAAAAAACAAGAAAGAGTAAAAAGGGGACAGAAAAACAAGAAAGAGTAAAAAGGGGACAGAAAAAACAAGAAAGAGTAAAAAGGGGACGGCAAAAGCAAGGAAGAGCAAAAAGGAGACAGAAAAAGCAAGGAAGAGTAAAAAGGGGACAGAAATAAAAGAAAGAATGAGTAAGATACAAAATAAACGTAGAGAAAGAATAAAAAACAGCAAGAAAAAGAAAATAAAGAAAAATGGTCAGCGTGGAAAAGAAAAAAAAATGAAAATTCCAAAAGAGAAAAGAAAGGCTGTAATCGAAGGAAAGACAAAGTCGCTTTTTTTTTATCAAATGGGAAAAGATAATTCAAGTGTTTTATATCCGAAAGATCAAACAATAAAACAAACATCCTAAAAATCCGTATAGAATGCCGTAAGTAATTGAAATATTCAATTTGCTTCTATCTTGGGCCGTGAGAAATTTGTTCTTAATTTATATATATATATATATATATATATATATATATATATATATATATATATATATATAGCATAAATGTTAGAAGAAGAAGAAGAAGAAGAAGAAGAAGAAGAAGAAGAAGAAAGAAAGAAAGGAAGAAAGAAGGTAGGACGAGAATAAAGAAAAAAGAAATATCGAAGAAAGATAAAGGAAGGAAAGAAAGAACGAATAAATGAAAAAAAGAAAGGAAGGAAGGAAGGAAGGAAGGAAGGAAGTAATTAACTAAAAAAGAAAGAAGAGTAAAAGAAGGATGGAAAAAAAGAAAAAGCTAAATTAAATAAGGAAAAAGAAAATGAGAGAGAAATATCTATATCTATATCTATCTATCTATATATATATATATATATATATATATATATATATATATATGCGGGGTTAAAAGAGTGAGACAAATCATTGCAATGTCTGACTGCTAGTGATGAAAAGTGACTGTAATCGCATGTTGTCTGGCAACACATTCTCCTGACTCTTTCCTTCTTCAATCCAAGAAGACGGTTTCTATTTGACAGCAACGTCGGATGCTCTCTGGTGATTGCTCTTCTGTCGTAGAAGCTGATTTCATCAACAAACCCATCAGATTTGGCAGACAGACCAATTTCTTTGAATTCTTTAGGACGGAATTCGGAATCAAGCAAAATCCGAATGTTTAACACAAATGAAATGAAATAAAATATCAATTAAACAAAAGTAAAAAAAAAAAAAAAAAAACTTTAGAAAAATGTGAAGCAAAATTAGCACAATTTCTCTCTGAATTATTTTTCACTATTTTACATTTGAACTATTGCGCTGTCTAGTTGAACTCGGTGGAAAAATAGTGGACTACAAGTGAGCAGTCGTAAAAATAAGAACTAGACAAGGTATCCCGAGCCATGGCTAGAGGAATGAGAAATGTCTACCCTATAGATTAAACAAAAGGTTCAGTTCGAAATTCTCTGTATACCACGCACACACACACACACACACACACACACACACACACACACACACACACATATATATATATATATATATATATATATATATATATTTGTTTGGATCGATGTGAGTTTATGTTAGCTCTATTTCTTATATTGAGCGCTTTCTAATAAGTACCCGCATATAAAGAATTATATATATATATATATATATATATATATATATATATATATATATATATATATACACACTTTTCACACACACACACACACACACACACACATATATATATATATATATATATATATATATATATATTAATTTTGGGATATTAAATCAAAAGCATGTAAAAACGCTACACACGAAATTTGTTAAGGCAGGATTTTGATAAGGTCTTTGCTTCAGAGCTAGACGAAGCTGATTACGGTGCTTCAGTCTACTGTCTTCAAAACCATTTAACTTATTGAAACTTGTCTTTCGCCACTTCTTTCAGTTTGATGCTTGGACTTCCCAGGTTTTCCGATCGTTGATCGTATTCCGAAGTTGAGACATTTCAAGTTGTCTTTCAATTTCCCTTTGTAGAGTAAGTGTGAACGTCCAAGTGAACGCTTGGTGTTTGGTAGTTGTCCATACAGCACCTTTTTTTGGAAGCCTATACTCATCCATTCTCACATGACCACCTCACCTAAGTTGTATCTTTGCTAGAATGGTTTCAGTACCTCTGATGTTGTTACATTTCTTCAGTATTGCACTATTCTTGACCCTGTCATCCTATTTTATATCACATATGGCACGAAGACAGCGCATGTGAAAGGTAGTTTATGTTCTTGCGCTACAGGGTCCAAGATTCAGCACCATAGAGTAGGGCTGAGGAACGACTGATCTGTATATGTCGATCTTTACTCTGAGTTATCTATCTATCTATCTATCTATCTATCTATATATATATATATATATATATATATATATATATATATATATAGATAGATAGATAGATAGATAGATATGTTATAATGCTAAGCTCTTCGCAATGAATAGAGCACTCTGGCAGAAAAATATCACGCAAAAGTCTCCGACTGATGTCAAATCAGTCCAGTTTGGGTCCCGGCTTGAAGCAATCAATCGCGTGTCTAGTAAAACTGAAGAGCTGTGATACATCGAAACAGTGTGTCTGCCTGTGGATGACTATATATATATATATATATATATATATATATATGGAGGGAGGCTTACTGTGTGTATGCCCACGCGTGTGTATGTGTATATCGATCTGATTAACGTGCAGGGAATTTCGAACTGAACCCTTTATTCAATCTGCGGAGCAAGACTGTTCTTGTCCTACAACAAATATCTAGAAATATCTCGTTTAGTTCTTATTTTATTTAGTTGAGATATTATTCAATCGTTTCCACTGAGTGCACGTTTCTGGGTATGACGATAAACTACATCCGGCAACAAGGCCTCTGATCAGGAGGTTTTGAGGAGCGTGGCGCCACCTCTTAATTGCTGTTGCTTCCAGGTCCACCCTAAGCCAGGGTGAAAGCACTTGATAGGGTCCAAGCTATGGGAAAATAGCTAACTCCCAAACTGGTGTTAAAATACTACGGAAGTGGTAAATAGTTTTTTAGTAATAATACCAGCAATACATTTTGGGAAAAAAATATTACCAGCAATACATTTTGGGAAAAAAATATTACCAGCAATACATTTGACTCTTGACAAAAACACTCTTTACAAAAATATAACAATAAAACCTGATCTACAAACTGAATTAATACAAAGAAAACATATTCTATTCATACTAACCTGTCTCAAAAAATCTTTTCGGGATTAAATAACCCATTGAAGTGTTGATATGCCGTAAAACAAAATAAAACAAACCAATGAGTGAAAGTACACACTGATTGAATCAGGGATTAGAACTCACGTCCACTATGTCAGCAATTTCACAAACCAACGCTTTACCCACAATGCCTGGGTCGGGCAATATCTACTTGCACTCAGCGGTTCAGTTTGAAATTCCCTCTAGATTACCCGGATCAACATTAGAGGCATTCAAATTCTTAGACAATATTAGTTTGTGGGAATATTTTTTTTATTTTTTATTGTATTGGAATTCCAAACGAACGTCTAAGTTATCAATGAGATGTAACGTGTCTAGGCCTCTCACAAACATTTATTTAATTTTTGTTTAAGAACCCAAATTGATATAAGAACAAGGGACAAGTCAAAGGTATCAATATATATATATATATATATATATATATATATATATATATATATATATATATATTAATTGTATTCAACAAGGCGTACAATAAAGAATATATACGAAAAAGAAGCATGTAATGAGTCAGAGGAGAGTGGTCTCTTTTTGACTATAAATGTTTATCAATGTTCTCTGGAAAGGAAATGAAAGAGTTATTAGTCTGTTATAAATGTTTTAGACAGTTTTGCCGTGCAAGAGGAAAATTATTTAAGTGTGATAGAATATGTAAAATGAGAGTGAGTGAGAAGATGGGCGCATGTCTTCGACTGACGTGGATTCCAGTAGCAGTCGAAGTCTCACTGGTGTTGGTCCTCTTTTGTTCTGTTTATATAGGTAGTCATCGAATTAGGAATCTGCGAGGGAAAAATCATTCTCCACATGCAGAGAATCTGATTGGTTGATACTGACCAATGCCTGAGTTTTGGGGAAACTTCTGGAAGCCAATTCTCCCAAAAGTGCACAAAAATTACTTCATGAAAATATAGCGATTTTAAAATCGTCGCTTCAGATAGCAGCGTTGCTTTCTGTCCAATGAATGAATGCTGTTAAAGATTTGAATTTGTAAGGGTGTATGTGTGTGTGTGCAATTATGATGATCGCTATAGTATCATGCGGGGTTTTTCTTTTTTTCATAAATAGTAAGTTTAAATTGTTTATTTTTTGTCATTCATCGATATATAATTATGCCTTAAATTTCTGATATTTTTTTAATTTGGTTGCTGTGTAGTTGATACCTGCAAAGTAGTTTAATAGAGGGTGTCCAGTAAAAAATCGGGGAATCCAGAAAGACGTGAGACAACCGTTGATAACTAGTGATGACTGATGTGACTGAAAATATCAGGAAGAATTTCTGCACGTTTCGTCAATCAATCGTCGGATGTACTTCTTTGAATAGTACAATAATTTGACACTCAAAAACAGTGGGTTAAGAGTATAACGAAAGACAAAAGTTGTCTGCAAATAAAATGACGAGACCAAAGACCAAGCAGCAATTATAAATGAACCAATCAGAGTTGAGTAATGACGCGGGAATCGAATGAATATTCAAGGTCATGAATAGTCAAGAAATTTGTCTATATTACTGAGATGAGGTATTATGCATACTATTTACATTATTCGGACTATTGTCTTCATCTTTGTTGTCATATTTATTACAACATTTCGGCCTTTCAGTATCTGTCTATATTTCTGAGATGAGGTATTATGTACACTATTTACATTATTCGGACTATTGTCCTCATCTTTGTCGCCATATTTATTACAACGTTGTACGCTCCGGCCTTCTTCAGGTGGTTGAAATGTCGAACTGAACCCTTTATTTCACTCACTGGGGTAGACTGTTCTAGTTCTACGTGCCATGTTTAATGGATGTCAGTTATCAGTTATCTCCTGTTAATTCCGCTCTCCAGATAATAATAATAATAATAATAATAATAATAATAATAATAATAATAATAATAATAATGTAAATAGTGTACATAATACCTCATCTCAGAAATATAGACAGATACTGAAATAATTATCTATATACCATATCATCAACACTTACTCATCATTGGGCTTTTTAATCGACTAGCATCTTTAAATAGCGGACTCATCTACAAGTAACTCTGACCAACTAGCAGGCTTTGTACTCTGCCAATATTTTGATTTTTATAATCTAGTACTATCTTTCACCAAACATTGTCTTTGTTATCTACCAACATATTTGAATGACTACTGGTTTTTGTCATCTGCAACTATCCTTATTATTAGGCTTTGTAATTAACTACTATTGTTCAGCAAACTTTTGGTCTGTCAAAGGATTGTTGAAGTGTCAACTGCCATATAGCATAATGGGGTAGACGCTACTCTATAGCTATGTATTGCCTGGAGGAGGGCCTCATAGACAGAAGTAACTGGTTAGGAGGGCACAAAGTTACATAGATGGAATCAGCTACCACGTGGCCAGGACCAAAAGGCGCCCTCAAAGAGGAAGATATCGGCAGTGGTTTCACATGGTGAGGGATGGGATCCACGAAGTCTAGCTGATTAAGAGGTGCTACGAATTAAAGCCAGATATGTGGAGGGAACTGGTCAGAAGCTCAGATGCACACCGGCCCTATGACAACTGCATTGTCATGGGACTGATGATGATGATGATGACGATGATGGGTTTTGTAATTCACCAAAGCCCTCTAACAAACCAGTAGACATTTTAATTTACCTACGTCTATGAAAAACCATTAGGCTTTTTTTTAAAAAAAAAAAGCAGCATTGAGTATCCGTTGGGCTTTCCATCTAAATCCTCTTGCTTTCTTGTCAACTTTGATGTTCATATATTCAAATGGAAACACATCAAATCACATGATCTACCCTCTGACAAACAATATGGTTTCCGCTTTGCCTAGTCTACCACTGATGTGCTCACGGCCATAACTGAATTTGTATACCAAGCACATGATGGCGGCGAAACTCGACCTGTGGCTCTAGGTATCTCTAAGGCGTGTAATAGGGTTTGGCATGCCGACCTTCTTCGTGAGCTTCAGAAATACGGTATTACTTGACGATTATTTAACTTAATCCAATCATTCCTGTCAAACCGTGAAATGAAAGTCATCCTAAACGGGTTATCTTCTAGTTCCTTTCATACGAACGCTGGTGTTACCCAAGGTTCTATCCTGGGTCCTTCACTGTTTCAGTTCTTCATCAATGTTCTTCCTGATGTCATCAGTTTCCAAGTAGGCAGACGACACTACTATTTACTCCTGTCTCAAATCCGACATTGCTGACAAAGTTAACCTAGCCGTTGGTCTCGAAAAGGAACTCCAATCGGTGATTGACTGGGGCAGGAAATGGCTTGTGAATTTTAATGCATCCAAAACGAAACTGCTCTCATTTACCCACCAGAGAGTAACAAACTTGTCCCCTATCAGAACAGCCTATCTCCAACTCCACCAGAGCATGTAACGTCAATTGATGCCTTCATTCCAATCCCCGTTTTTCTCTATATCCTTTCCTGAAACAGCCCTCTTTACTCATGCTCTCACTCTCTCTGTAACCTCTTGCGTGCTAGTGGCACTCCCACCTCGCTTTGGGTGAAATGTTTATATAACCGCCTCTTCTATTCCAACAGCTTCTCTTGCATTTCCCACAGTGGAACTCTTTTCTTTTTACTTGCTTCCCTAATAATATTCAAACATTCAAATATAATGTCAATCGCATCTTCTGATGCCTTGATCCCGATCAACGTCCTTCTCTATAACCTTTCCTTAAATAACCCTCTTTACTCTTGCTCTCACTCTCTGTAACCCCTTCCGTACTAGTGGCATTCCCGCCTTCCTGAGAGTCAAATCCTTAAAAAAAAAAAGCACCATTATTTTCTGTCTTATTTTTTTATTGTCATATTTTCTCACACTCAGGGACAGCATTGCTTTGCTTGGAGTGAAAAGTTTAATATATAGAGACACATTATGAAATGGACAAAGTCCAACAATTATTTTAAGAAATGTTTATACATTCTTTTTATAGATACAAATACTTAAGTAAATGCTCTGTTTATAATAAACAGTATTAAACGACATTTACCGGCCTGAATGTCCGAGAAATTTTCACGGGAAATATTTGTCCTCCGATAGGATTCGAACCTGTATCCTATACAAAACCGTCATTTAGCTTGACGTGCCTTTAACAGATTTGACCACAGAGGCGCGTTCGGTTAGCAAAGTCGTATTTACTGTATTTCAAATTTCAATCTTCCATGAATCTCTCACGTACATTCATATCTGCTCATGGCGTATCAAATGTAAACAAATGACTTCACACATTATTAAATATTATGAAATATATCTATATATCGATATATCTATATCTATCTAGATTATATATATATATATATATATATTTATATATATATATATATTGACCATTAATATTATCTATCTATCTATCTATCTATCTATCTATCTATCTATCTATCTATATATATATATATATATATATAGAGAGAGAGAGAGAGATACACCTAGTGAGCCAGACAAACCTACCTAGGTTTCACCTAAACGCATCGTCAGGGAAATTTGTTGATATTTTATATATATATATATATATATATATATATATATATATATATATATATATATATATATATATATATATATATAAGTGATAGAATTTGGGTGTATTAGAATAATATTATAGTAATTTATTGAGTCTAGAAGAATACTCAACACAATGCAGAAAGCACCTATGTGAAATATATATATATATATATATATATATATATATATATATATATACCTATATTATTTTTTGACTTTGTATGGTAAACTTAGAAAAGATGTCTTCTACCGAACTCAACGAAGTCTTGGAAGGTACTATAAGATTAATATATATCAGTTATCTTTTTCCCTCTATTCCTTGTTGTGAACTAAAAAAATAAAAGGATATAAAAATGAAAAGTGAAAAATGATGAAAGTCAAAATTGAAAAGGAGTGAAATACTTTTTTTTCATTTTTGCATGAATTGAAAAAATTTTATATTTTCTTTTCAATTCCATTCAGCCCTTAAAATCCAGGGTTTCTCGCAGTGCTGAAACAAGTTTGTTTATCTTTTGAGGGGGGATTTTATTTTAATCAGTCAGATATTGACACGAAATGTTATTAAAAGTTAAAAAAAATATTGTAAACAATTTAAGAGGTGTTGACTTATTTGTCTAAGTTGCATCAACTAAAATCATTGTCTCGTAAAAAGTAATCTTTAAAATATTACAAGCAAGACGACAAGAAATTCACTTGTACTTGTAACATGGCTGAACATATAAAATTATGTAGTTAAAAGATATTAAAAGTTTAATTTAGTCAGTGGGCCATTTTCTGTGAGGCATATCACCCCACGTAAGGCAATCAAACCAGTAGAACGCAAGGGATTCCTGGAAGTGGAACACAATGATCTGTTTTGTTTTACGGTATATCAACCCCAATGAGTTATTTAATGCTGACAAAACTTTATTGCTGATAATATTCTTTATTCAAAAATGTATAGCTGGCGAATCGTTGTAATAAATATGGCAACAAAGATGAGGACGATAGTCCGAACAATGTAAATAGCGTACATAAAACATCTCAGATATATAGACAGGTAATTTTCTTTCTTTTCAAAAATATTTTGCTGGTAATATTTTTTTTTTTCCAAAAATATATTGCTGGTACTATATTTTTACTTTCATAGTGTATTGAACCTAATTTGCGGGTTAACTGTTTGCACGTAGATGTGACCCTAACAGGTGCTACCAATCTAGGCTGGAAACACCGGCAATTAAGAGTTGCTTCCACGCTCGTCACGACCTTTCGATTCGAGGCCTTCTTGATGTAGTTTATTATAATACCTAAGACGCCTCATTGGGTGCTGGGTCTTCGTCTTCTGCATTAGGAGATGTCGGTATATTCAGAAGAAATTGGGAACTGGAAGTGAAAAAGACTGAAAAGAATTTAGTGAGGAGAAAGGACAATTAAAGGAAGACAGAAGATGGCGATAATGCCACTAAGACGCAGGAGGTTACTAGGAGTGAAAGAGAATGAGACTTTAGTGAGGAGAAAGGACAATAAAAGAACAGGTTTCAGAAAGACAGAAGATGGCGATAATGCCACTGAGACGCAAGTGGTTACTGGGAGTGAAAGAGAATGAGAAGACTTTAGTGAGGAGAAAAGACAATAAAAGAACGGGTTTCAGAAGATGGCGATTGACGTTGCCTTCAATTTATTGAAGATTGTATGTAATAAGAACTCCGAGAAGGGTTTTACAGACAAGAAAAGAAATAATTAGAATAGAATATACGGTTATATCTTAGCTAGTTCAACAGAAAAAAAAAATGTGAGACCTTGCCGTGAATCTAGTCGCAGGCTTAAATTCATGCAATCGAGATTCCAAGGAGGGAAGCTCATCATAGCAGATGTCATGAAAATATTTGTAGCAGAAACGAAGGGAGGCCAAGTCAAATTGGTGAGGAAATGGCTGAAGTCGAAATGGCATGTCAGGATCGATTACATTGGGAGGCTTTTTAAAAAATTTTCTCAATAATCTCGAGATATACAGCAGGAACACTTGAGCATTGAAGGCAACAGTAATCAATGTACGGTCGAATAAATGTTACCGCCCTGAGTATGACGATAAACTACACCCACGTCCAGAGTAAGACGATAAACTACATCTGCGTCCAGGGTAAGACGATAAACTACAACCGCGTCCTGGGTAAGACGATAAACTACATCCGACAGCAAGGTTTCTGATCAGGAGTTTTAAGGAGCGTAGAACCACCTCTTAATTGCTGGTTCCCAAATCCAAGCTAACCCCGATGGCAGCGCCTGTTAGGGTCCCAATTATGGGCAAATAGTTAACCACCAAACAGGGGTCAAAACACTATGAAAGTGTAAAAATATGTTTTAATACCAGCAATATATATTTTTTAAAAATTATTAGCAGCTATATATTTTGGGGAAAAAAAGTATTATCAGCAATAAAAATCTTGTCGATATTAAATAACTCATTGAGGTTGATATGCCGTAAAACAAACCAAACCGAATTATAAATTTGTAATGGATTCTGACAAGAAACTTTTCTAGCAACAAATTAGTAACCAACTTTTCCAGTACTAGAACTAATAATTGATTCGAAATAATCACTCCACTTCATGACAGTTGAAAATGTGAACCGAAGAAGACCCAAGAAGTTAGCATCAGTCAGGCTGATGACTGACAGAAAAAGTTTCTCCATTGTGATTAACTGAAACCAGTTTTATTTAAGCCATGCCTTGCCCCTGTTAACCATGGAGTGGATGTCCTTTCGAAGAGCAGTTGCCAATTTTACCATGTAGGACTTACTACTGAGACATGAGTAAATAGATGTGTGTCAAGTATATCTTCTTGAATGTAACATGTCTGTTTAATATGTGGATGATCATAGCTCTCCACAACTACCTATCTTTATAATTTGTAATAATGTTTCTCTTTATGCCATGCCTCCTATTACCTTGTCCAGCTTACATCCATATCGCGTTGAAATATCGGTTCTCATGCAATCAAAGAAGTTAAGCTACGTCGAGTCTGAACATTTCCTAGATGGGTGACCGCTTGAGAATAGAACTTAGAGGTGTGGCTGGTGTAATGAATAACCGTTCGAGATTACAATTCGCGTAGTGGATGTTATATTAATTTACTGGCAAATCCATCCCCACTCAACTATGAGTTTTTTTCATATCATTTCACCCCACACAGGGCAATAAATTCACTATGACGCAAAGGGTTACCGAATGAGGAAAATATTATGAAAAAAAAACGTTATAAAAGACAAAGAACACTAAAAGAACAGGAACTAAGAGGACAGATGCTAACGATTGACATTGCATTTAAATTTTGAAAGATCAATGTTGACTGGAAGATTAAAGGCAATAAAGCTACTAGGACGCAAGACGTTACTGAGAATTAAAGAATATGAGAAAACAACTATTAAAGAGAGAATACAACAAAAGAACAAGAATTAAGAAGGCAGGCGCTAAAGATTGATATTGCATTTAAAATTTTGAAGATCAAAGGCAATAAAGCCATTATGACGCAAGAGGTTACTGGGTGTTAGAGAAACTGAGTAAAAACTACTATTAAGGAGAGAGGACAATAAAAAAAAATAATTAAGAAGACAGATGTTAAAGACTCATATTTCGTATACTTTATTGAAGATCTAAAGCAATAAAGCCTCTTGGACGCAAGATGTTACTGGCTGTTAGTGAATATGAGAAAAACTACATTTAAGGAGAGAGGATAATAAAAGAACAAGAATTAGGAAGACTGGAGCTAAAGATTGATATTACATTTACATTTTGAAGATCAAAGGCAATAAAGCCATTAGGACGCAAGAGGTTACTGAGTGTTAGAGAATATGAGAAAAATATCTTCTTTTAAGGAGAGACGACAATAAAAGAACAAGAATTAAGACAAACGCTAATGGTTGACATCGCATTTAAATTTTCAAAGATCAAAATTAACTGGAAAGCAAAAATCCGAAAAAGAATTTCACTAAAGAGAAGTGCGAAAGAAGACGCTGTTAGCATAGAACTTGCGGTTACATCTAATCAGTTCAAATGTAAAATGAGGTGACATATAGGAGGAGGCTGATAAGGTCATTGACGAAGCATATAAGCAAAGAGGATATTTTGAGGAAAATGGAAACAAAAGAATCTGAAAGATAATTGGGCAAATTATGAAAAAGTTCTTTATTTAAGAATTTGACACTTGCATGAAGTCGAAGACAACATGGAGAGACAGTAGAACACCCAAATGAAAAAAGGTCTTAGGATTTTAAAATCACGTCATCAAAACTGTTTCTTTTCATCTCAATCATGTTTTCATTTTCTTATCATTTTACTCCAAGCGAGGTAATAAAACCAATAAAGAAAGTGCGTGTGAAAAGAAAAAGAAAAACATTATTAAGGAGCGAGAAAAATAAAAGAGGAATTAAGAAGACAACAGATAGCGATTGGCATTGCATTTAAATTTTTGAAGATCAAAATTGACTTGAAAGCAAGAAACCGGAAGAAGTTTCCCATGGAGCACGCGCAAGTAAAGGAGGAGAAATGTAAATTGAAAAAGGAAAGACAAAACGGAAAACGAAAATAAATCTTATCGAGAAGCAATAATGAAAGAATAGGGAAAAGAAACTTCTACCATTATAAGAATATTATTATTAATGGACTTTAATATTTCGGGTGGAATAATGGATAGCGGCTCTGATTAAGGAATCAGTGACCCGAGTTCGAAATTCCAATCGAATACATTTAACGTCTGTTTCATTGAAATGGAAAAAAATCGTTTCATTTGTACCCCCTTACTTCTTAAAATAATGACCAGCATTCATATTTATGATTGATATTTCAAGATTTTGTTAAAGTTGTTAAACGATATCTAACGATGCGATAGCGGAATCTCCACAGATATTTTATCGTCGTAGAACTCGCCATGAAATTATTCAATCATTCACTGAAGAATTAAAATTCTATTATTATTATTATTATTATTATTATTGTCGTATGTCCAGAAGTCGCTTTCTGTCTGCAATCCGTCTAGTCTCGCCGAAGCCTAGAAAAGCAGTGACTCCCACGTCCACTCGCCGGGTTTTTAATCGGTAGCGTGGTTTCTTTATGCAAATAAGTCTGCTGCATAAAAATGGCAGTAGGCGCACGCGCGACCGACTCTCAGAGAATGGTTCGACACGCGAGGCAACGAATTCGCTTTGCTCCTGGTAAGTCACTGTCACTCCTATTACAATTATTATTGTTGTTGTTGTTGTTGTTGTTGTTGTTGTTATTATTATTATTGTTATTATTATTATTATTATTATTAATAATGATAATAATAATAATAATAATATTCGAACGGAGCACGCGCATTAAAGGAGGAAAAATGTAAATTGGAAAAGGAAAGAGAAAACGGAAAACGAAAATGAATCTTATCGAGAAAACAATAATGAAAGAATAAAGAAAAGAAAATTCTACCATTACAAAAAATATAATTTTATATTTAGCGTCAAATGAAGTATCAAGAATTCCATGAACGGGTTGATTGTCTAATAATTTTCGGCACCTTTGGTTCAAATATTTTAATTGGGTTTTCGTTTGGAATTTAAAGAAACCAGAAGCACAAAGAAAAAATTTCATCGTTTTCCAATTTTAATTTTCTGTTAAATCGTGACTCTACAATTTAAAGTTTGCGAGATCCACAACTATAAAATAACCGTGGAAATACTCGTTTCATCATTAAATATTTGTTCCTAACAACTGTAACAAAACATGACCATAAATATGTATGCAGGTTATTATTTAAAGAAGTGGGTACAAATGAACAGATTCAAACTTGACAAGGTTTTCCATTTCACAAAAGCAGACGCTGAACGCATATGAGAGCGTTATCCCCTCTCTATCTTTGTTTTCAATATTTCTTTATTTCTTCTTGTTAGTGCCAGTATGTCTGCTCTCGATGTTTTTTAAAACCAAAGAGCGTCTCTGGCATATCTCTCATTTCGTCTTTTCTCGCAATCGAAATGGAATTGTCCATTATATTCTTTAAGGAAATGCAAAACGTAAGAAACGCGCCAAGTTACTAATTAATGAAGGAACAAACAGAATTATATTGGGTTGGTGCATAATTACCAGGCTTTTTTGTAGGCGAACGAATTTGTTAATAAAAATTGCTGCTATTTTTACTTTTTTCATAAAAAATATTATTTTATTTGCAGGTTATAAAAATGTGTGTCGATAAGCATACGCTCCGGAATAATCATTTAAAAATGTTATTGTTGAATTGTTATATTTCTTTTTTTCATAATAAATATTGTTTTAAAAAAATGCCTGATAATTATGCACCAACCCAATAGTATGCTAA